AGGTAGATGCGAAGGAATATGTTAAAAGATGTGATAAATTGTCACGCCCCAAACCGGGAGCAAAACAGACGCCGTGCACTCGGGAACGGGTCCCACAGTGCACAAGGCTCGAAACCTACTAAGTTCATGCTACCAATTCAGATAATTCAGGTCATATCTAATTTCATTTTCTTTCTACACATTTACCTGTCAAAGTGTACAAAGAGTTATAATTTATTTATACAATCCTTACTACAACTACATAAGTTCTGTACACAAAAGTCCTAAGTCAGCATGGGTGACTAACGGCCTAGCTACAGAACTAACTCCAAAAATGCCTAGCCGTCTAGCTCGTCACTCCCCCGAGCTTTCCACGCGTCGGGTCTCACTACCTGAAATGGTGGACAAGGAAACCGTGAGATAAAATATCTCGGTAAGTAAATATGGGTGCCCAAATCAGGATTTAAAGCATGCCAAATAATTGGTTAAAACATGATCAGAGCGTTTCAAGAACAGAGCGTGTCAAGAACAGAGCATTTCAAGAACAAATCATTAATGCAAAATAAAATCACGTAGTGGTCTCCTCTATTAGTCATGGCCAGTGTTATAAACCTCCCACTGGCGGGCTACAGAAGTTAATAGTGTATAATCCCCACTAGTAGGGCCACGAGCGAACCGGTTCTATCACGAACATGTCGACATGTGCTAGCATTTATAAACCTCCCACTAATGGGCACACGATTTTCACGACCATATTGGAGACAAAACCAAGCAAACTTTACAAACAAAACCGAAATTCACAATCGCTCTCACTTTCAAGAATAAATCAAAAGGATCTCATGTGGGCATGCTTAATTCTAGAAAATAAGGAAAATGATAAAAGTTTAATTTCCCTTTTCAATCATGCTCAAATGCGAATAAATCCATTTAAACCTCGCCACCATCTCAGAAAACAATTAAAATATGCTTTAAAATTTTACGGGCTTTACCATAATTTACTTACCTTAGTCACGCAGAACAGGAGGCCTAATCCAAGTGCTAAGACCACAGGGCAATCAAGGACCTATTCACAATATTCTCGAGTTAATATCTAGAAGGAAATTTTATTCCTTTATTTATTTTCATTTCTGCTTTTCTATCCGGAAATTAAGCATTAACCGGGATTAGTTATTTATCTATGTATCTACCATTATATAATTACCCATATACCATTTTCCTCAATTTCATGGACAAGCAATGGGGGAACCGGCCTTGACAAAAAAAGGGGCCAATTCACGGGATTCTCCCCTTTCTTTCTCTCGGACCTCACACACAACAGCCAAACCCCCTAATTTCCTACATAAATCATCAACCAAAACCCATGCTCAAGTTGCCGAAATCCTCCCTATTTCAACAAAACTCTCGGACAACTCAAGCCCATTTCATACAGCCTAGCCACTTAAACTCAAATCAGCACTTAAACAACCAATTTCAGGAGATTAAAGAAGCCAACTTACCAGAAATGCTCAACAAGCAAAGCTGGAGCTGACGGTAAAGGGAAGAGCCGGCGGGAAACTTGGAGGGCTTCCACGGGGCCACTAGCAATTTAAGGAACTACAAGGTTAAAGTGACCCAACATAAATCAAGGCTAAAAGAGGAGTTTCTGGACTGATTTTTACCAGGAAAACCGAACTCACACCAAGCTATGGCCGGCGGCAGGGAAGAGAGAAGACAGCAGATCCGAAATTCCTGGGTTGAGGGAGAGAGTTTTAAGCTTTAAATTTTGTTGTTCAACAAGAAAAGGGAAGGAATTTACCAAGATCTTACCAAGTTTCCAAGAGGAGTAGGCGGTGGTGAAGGCTGGTGGTGTT